GGGCAACAGTCATTTTATGGACAATTGTCATGGAGTTATAGAATATCTATCTATCTATCTATCTATCTATCTATCTATCTATCTATCTATCTATCTATCTATCATGTATGTATGTATGTATGTATGTATGTATAAATAAATAAAACTGGGTGGCATATAATTAAAACAATATAAAACAACAAAACAATACAACAGTTCAAAAATTGTTTTAAAAAATTCAAAAACATGTTTAAAAACTGTCATAAAAATTCATAAAATTCACAGATGAGGTAATGACATCTACCAACAACATTCAATGCAACCACTGTGCCAGTTGTACCACATATTTGTTGGCAATTTCAAACTTTCATGGCATACTTTTTGTAGTGATAAATAATACCTGGTGTCAGAAGAGCTATTCACCGATGAACCACAAAGAGACAATTTGTAAGCAATAGGTTGAAAAGAATACATATTTGGACCCAACTGATTTTTTTTCTTGCTGCTGCTTGCTAATTGGCTGCCTTCTCTCTCTCTCACATGCCCTGCCCTGCCTGCCAATACACAGATGCCATCAGATGACTTATTGTTGGCCTTTCAAGGTAGTCCAGACAGGAAACCAAAACCATGAGTTCTAACACTATTTTATTATAAGGTTACAGTCTTGCATGTCTGAAAGCACTTACCCCCTCCCCTGTCTTTACTTTCCAGAGAACTAGGGAGGGTCCCTTCTGAGATGCTTTCCCCACCCCTATCCCTCCTTTGGACTCCAACTTCTCTTATCAGACCCTTGTCTAGGCTGCGGCTCTTCCTCCTGTCTCCCAAGGTTATTCTCACAGTTCATCACATTTTCATAGTCCATTCCACTTACCCACTTGGCTACAACCCACAAGTAAATTAGAGTCTTCCCCTCCCCTCTGCTACTTACATGCTTTGTTATTTAGTGTAAGGTTTTTGAGAGATAGAGCCTCAGTAAACAATTATATTTCAATTGTATACAGGACATTTCTTAAACAATGTCTGCAGTACACCAAGGTTCTCCAATAAATAGACAACTTTCCACAAGCTAGTTCCAAGATCAAAAGCAAGATGTTGATAGATCTCTGCTCAGATGTCCAATAAAACAGTTGAGAAAAAATAATCACTAGCAGAGTTTTTGGTGTAAATTCACAGAATATGAGCTTAAGTGAAAAGGCATTTAAAGGACAACTGCCTTTTCTTCAGTATATCATTATAAAACTGGACTTAACACTCCCTACAACTAAGACTAAATACAAAAATAAGCTAAATGTTATACTAATTCTAAAACTTTAACAAATCTCACTCCCAACATGGATGGCATATGCCACCATGTTTTAATGTGTTTTAATATTTAAATGTTTAAATATACCAGCTAATATATGAGCTCATACATCCCATTATATTTATAATAAATAAATTAAATGTACCAGAAAATAAAGAATATATTTTTATTTCTTTGATTTTTTTTTCTTCAAAAAATTAATTATAGGTATTCTTAAGTAAAAAAAAAAAATGTGTTCCACAGTCTTGAAAATTTTAAGAATCACTAGGAGAGTATATCCAAAACTTACAATTTAGGGTATCCTTTGGGGCAATAAATAAGCTGAAATATACAGGTAGTGCTCACTTATTGGCCACAATTGGGACTGGCAATTCTGCACTAAGCTGTGCAGTCATTAAGCATGATGTCAGGTGGCCATGCCAACTTACAACATCACTTCTGGCTGTGGTTGTTAAGCAAATCATCCACAGTTGTTAAGCGTGATGTCATGTGACCGTGACTTGCAACTTCCTGAGAGCTCCCCTATTGACTTTGCTTGTCGGAAGTCAGCTGTGAAGATTGCAAATGGCAATCATGTGACTGCGGGGACATTGCAATGACCACAACTTCGAGGACCAGTCATAAATCTCCTTTTTCAGTGCCATCATAACTTCAGACGGTCGCTGAACAAGTGGTCAGTAAGCGAGGACTACCTGTATTGTTAATGTGTTTTTATTCTCTGGAAAAGGAATTTGTAGAATTGTTAATCTCCAGTGACAAAGTTAGTATTATGTGTCTTCATTTGGTGAGATGGGCATCCTGAAGCAGTACAGGTAGCCCCCCAGTTTAAGAACAAGTTCCATTCCCAAGATCTGTCCTTAAGTCGAATTTGTATGTTAGCCAGAACAGTATTAT